CAGGCGCGCGGAGCGCTCCTCGGCCGACTCCCGGAGCCGCTTCTCGGCGCGGACCTGAGCTGGGACGGACGGTGGGACGGACGGTGGGTGAAGAGAGGGCGTTTCTGAAAGTTCGATGTCTTGATTTGTGTGCGAATGAATGTGTTTTGCGGGGTGTGACTGTTGTGAATCATGAAGTGTGTGAGTTCTTCTGAAAGAGTGTAAATCATCAGACACGATTCGATGAGGTCATGGTGATTATATATATATATATATAGAGGAACCCTAAGGGGGTGACTCTAAGGGGACATTGACGGACACCGCTAGCGGTGCCTAGGCTGCCTTGGTAATGAAGAAAACAAATATTCTGTGCATATATAAACATATACCATGCACCTGGTGTGTTTTAAATACCAAGGATGTTACATAGTTAAAATAGGTTTATTTAAAAATACAGTAAGAAAACTAGTAAGAATACATACATATATATAGTGTATATATGATGCATACAAATATCAATCAAATAAACAACAAGTAAGTATATAAGATTATATAACAGCTCGTTGGATGGTCATCTAGCTTGGTTGGGTTCCTGCAGCCGTGTGCAGCCTAGCTTGGGAGGTAGATTTCCCTTGCCTATCTGCCTGTCTCTCTGCATATGGAGTTGGTCTATTTTGCGACTTGGAGCGAATCTTAAGCACTGTCTGTTCCCTAAGACTCATCAAGCATTAATTACTCAACCCAGGACGCGTGAGTTCGCCGTGGATGTCAGAGAAAACCAGACGGCAGCAATGAGCATAGGACTTAGACGAACTTAGATGAACTTAGGACTCACGAAGGGTTCCCGAATCGGGACTTAGATGAACTTCGGTTAACCGATCGTTGACGATCGCGGATGGGACAGGCTGACGTCTGAGCTGTGGTCTGACGTCTCCGAAAGGTGCTTACCAAAACGATCAAAGGGGACCCCAGAAAGATCCCAAGCGAACCAATTCAGTACAAAACCAGAGTTTTTGAGGGGGGGGGTGGTATTGATCTATAAGGAGAGGGAAGTACGTGGTCCAAAACAATCACATAACTGGCAGGCTCCTCCGGGAAACCCAACCAATGGAGGCGAGACGAACGAGGCAGGGAAACCCCCGCCTGCAGGGTCCGCTTGCCGATGCCCGCCGGGCCCAGGCCCACCTCAAAAGCGAAGAAAGCCGTGTTCTTTGTTGGGCAGTTTCCAAGACGAATTTGAAAGCTTCTGAGCCACAGTTTACTTGTACAACAACGGTTTACTTCATTTCAAGGTTTTAAGATGTTCTAAGCAACGGCTTAGTTTGTTAAGTTTACTTGTGAAACAAAGAATTTGAAAAAGAAGAGGACCACGGAGCACCCAGTTGGAGGGCCGACCTGGTCGACACCGGTGTCGACGGTGTTTCCAGTGAACATCACCCTCCGACCAACCATTGGTGCTGGAGGATGACAATGAATGTGTTGTGTGAATGGAGTGAGGTTGAGAATCTCCTCTGGTCGTGCTTCAGAGACACCGAGGCGAAAGCGTCCTTTAGAGAGACCTGAGGGTTGGCGCTCTGGTGCGCCGTCTGAGCTGGTCATGGCGAAAAGCAAGACCAGAAAAAGCAAGACCTGAAAACATCCCACAACTAGGGCTCTTGGCTGCCTTGGCTCAGTCTTGCCAAGTTGTGGTTGATATAGGGACTGTGCTAAATCAGCCTTTGGAATTCGAGCCAGGAGTTCTGGAGTACGTGCAAGAAGTAGAGAACATGATTGTCTTGTGACAGCCATAGCATTGTACATCAAAACTGCTTCTTTCGCGGAAACACTTGAAGCTGGTTGTTGGAGAAGTCCAGTCGGTCCACGTTCGAAGTCTTGTGGTGGACACCAAACTGGGCACCGAACCCATGCGCTCCCAGGCAGGCCCAACTGCCGGCAAACCTGCGCAGGGCTGCTGGGGGCACCAGAGTCACCAGCAATGAATCTTCTTGGATTCACAGAACCTTCTGGATCCAATGAATTGATCATGAAGAGAGATCCTCAAACAAATAGAACTGGTATGAAATGGTGTCTTATATCCATTTTTGGAAGGGTCTTACGTGTTGATCCATGTCCGGGTCACTTTGTTTGTCAACTGATTTGCCAGATGCCGACAGCTTCTCCTGCCAACCGGGTCCCTCGAGCTTTGTCTGACTGGTGCTTAGTCGGGAAGAAGGGAATGAGCTCGTAACATGGGTTCCTTTGGATCCATTCCTGTGGTCGCAACTCAGGATTGTAACTACGAAGGCAACCAGTCTCTCCTTTCGACAAACCTGTCTGCTCGGAAGCCCAGTTGTCTTCCCTCACGGTCATATTGAATCAGTGTTCGATGGGTCATGTCATTTCGCCCAACTTGTGTTCCAAATTCTACCAGTCCAACGATGTATCGATGTGCATGCTGCTCGGGCTCCTTCTGTTTTCTTCAGCAGGTTTCAGAGGAGGCTCACCGTGGCAAAGGCGCAGACGGGCCAAGGCTAGTTAGCTAGCTCTCCATACAATCCTGAAGGTTCATGCCACATCGTCATCCAAGCCAGCTGAACATGAATACGGGACACTGAAAAGGCCATTGGAAAACGCTGCCGTGCTTCTGGATGGCCTCTTGATATACTGATATACTGCATTGACTCAAAGAACAGTCGGGTATTTAAGGTCAATATAGAATAACAATGAATAACACACCTCTTAGAAGGATCCAGTTGAGTATCTTCATTACAAGGATCTCAATGTGGCTGACCCGGCCCATCTCAAACGGAGACGAATGGCCAATTCAGGGGCCCAAGGCCGGGGCCGCCCCAAGGCCGCGACCGGTGCTTCGGAAGGCAGGCTTGGAGATCTGACTCACAACATCGGGCTACTAGTAGTTTCTTGTTCCTAGTAGTAATGCCAGGAGCTACGTTCGTAGCGTCCTTGCTACGTTCGCAACGCGATGCCCTTGGTTTCGTTCGTAGCCTACCTGGTGTATCAGAGAAAAAGAGTCTTGAACTTGAAGCATGGTTTTTGGAGGACTGGACGTGAAGATACGCGAAGACTCATTACTGGTCTAGTGTTGGTCTATAGGAAAGGATTGTGTCTTGTAGTGTCTGAAAGGAGAGCTTTCAGGTTTTTAGGATACAAAAAATACAAACAAATCCCAGGTCGTAGAACTACCTAGGTTCCCCATTCCAGCCCAGCCACTCCAAGAAATAACCCTTATATAATCATCCTTTGTCATGTTGCTTTCGACTGATATGTGTCGAAGATCCCAGTGAAGGGAAACTGAACACATTTCGCTGAAGGGGCAAGACTGCAAGACTCGAGGATTCTTCTCTTCAGACCTGTATCCCCCTTGTCCCCACACAAACAACCACAAAATGTGATGATTGACCTGCAATTACACTCCAACCAACTGACAGAGAAGCGGAGTTTCGTAGCCGCTACGAATTCGGTTCTGCCCGATTCGGCCGGGCCCTACAGAAACCACTTCAAAAATTGAGAAGTCGTCTTTCGATTGATGTTTGAGGCTCAAATCCCCCCAAAACCGACAGCTGCCTGTGCATGTCAGCTTTCATGAGCCATGTCTCACCATTTCATCCGCCGGGGCTCTCCCCGCATCTTCGACCTCAGCGGTCTCGCCCACCAAATGACCAAATGCGCGGAAAAGTCTGTCGCGTGTTTTGAACTAGGGAGGCCACCAGTTCGACCCAAAAAGTAGGACAAACCCTAGTAAAACCCAGTGGTTGGAGGGTCTCCACACTTCAATACACCCCCATTGGTTGGCAAATCATCTAACCAAACATGTCAAACAAATCTTGCAGTTTAAGTGTTTCAAACTCGTCCTCCACTGCTTCGATGTCCCGAATCGCCAGGTCTGTCGAGTCCCTTGGTACATTCGGAAGTGTTTAAAAGAGAGAGAGAGAGAGAGAGAAAAAAAAAAAGACGAGTGCTACTAGTGACTTTAAAGCGCATCTAGTGGATCAAGCAGAAGTTTTTTGTTCAACCCCAACAACTGCTGTTTTCCTTGGAACGCATGAGGCCTGTCCACTCATCATTTCGCGCATCATTTCGCCACACTTCCGCCCCTCTTTCTCTCTCCAGCGCCATTTCACGAAACGTGCACCTTAAGTGCAGCGCTGTAGTAACCGAAGCAACCCCGAAACAGGGTGGCCTTGCCAATGGTTGTGGAGGTTGATGATAAGCCTGGCTCAAAATACAGCACGACTCGTGCTATTAAGCACCTCCGTGAACGATTCGCGCAATAGCACCTCCAGGGATTGAAAGTTGCTCAAACAACCCGGTACTCTGACGAAGGCTACAGGTAGTTTACTGCGTATACAATATACTTGCACTATACACATATGTGTAAAATTACATAACATGTAACTATATAGTTATATACATAACAATATATCAACATATGTAGCATATAGAATAACTTTAAAACATTGCAACTCTATATATGACTATGATTATTGTGTTTCAAGCGACCAGGCTTTGGTCATCAACCTCAGGAGGGCCTCTCTATGAAGACCGTTTGCCTTCGTGAAACGGGTATTGTTCAACGGTGTGACAACGGGTGTCTGACCCGTTGGCGCATGAGTCTGGAAGATCTGCAAGAACCGATTGCTGTTGCAAGATCTTGGTTCAAACAGGAAGCTTGGTCTATAAGCCCTTAGATGTCTAGTCTGAACCTTAGGTTGTGTGTCATCTAGATCCGCCGATGCTGAATTGTCCAAATTGATGCAAAGCCTTGTCCAGAATTCATCGCTGACGCCCTGCCATCGTACTGATCCAGGTACTGCAGTGCATAGGGGCGAGAATGACATGTGCACGATCGCTGAATGGTTTTCCTTGGAGTTCATAGGTTTCCCTTTGGATCGTCGGACTCAACCTCTGAACTCCTTACTCTTCCCTTACGAAACTGCAAGACCACTTGGACGAAGCACCCTGCGCCCTCGTGCAGACCGCACCTGGCGGGGAAAAAGCTCCGCAAACGCGGCCCTACTCGCTCACTCTGCTGCCTCAGCCGCAGGCGCTGCTTCTTCGGCCGCAGGTGCTGCTTCTTCGGCCGCAGGTGCTGCTTCTTCGGCCGCAGGTGCTGCTTCTTCGGCCGCAGGTGCTGCTTCTTCGGCCGCAGGTGCTGCTTCTTCGGCCGCAGGTGCTGCTTCTTCGGCTGCTGGAGCCGCTGCTGGGGCTGCTGCTTCGGCCGTAGGGGCCGCTTCAGCCTGCTCAACGGCGTGGCAGGTCTTCATGTTCTCATGGATTTCTTCCAGGGCATCTGATCAAGAAAATGGATAACATGCTACTGTAAATGAAAGGACAAACGCCTTGTGAGAGACGAGGGGAAAATTTTGCGAGCGAAGAGGATGGAGGGAGCACAGGCTTTTGCAGGCTTAAGCCTCATTGATTTCCTAGGAAAACTCGGCCGTCAGCCAGGGTGTCATCGACACATGAAGCAGAACTCACCTTGAAGAGACAACTCAAAGCAACTCTACCAGAAATCCACGGGATTCCCGCAAAGAAATCCCTGAACCCAAGGGTCCCGTAAGGATTTGTGCGTAACCCAAAATGAGTCAATCTTGGCGGTGAGGATCTGAGGATCCACAAAAAGCTCAGATCCAGGAGCTTTCTTTCCCTCCTTGAAATTGATCCTTGACGAACGATGGGAAAAATGCTCTGTGACCTCGTCTGTGACCCTGTCCATCGGTCACCGGCCTTCTCTGTGACACAGTCCGGCGACCGAAAGACATCCATGTGTAGGTGATCGAACTTTTCGAAAAAAAATGCGAAGTCGCATGGAACTACTTCCTATACTACTGTAGCTGTCGGTCCAACATCAAAAGTCCTGGACGGAGAACTCTGGGTCCGTGAGAAGGGGAAGTACCAGGAGGACGCTACTTCAATCTATAGAATGGGTGATGCTTCATGAACCCATGGGAAATGTCGGACACGGAGACCCCACTCAGCAGGAGATGTTTTTCGTCTCAAAGTCCGTTTCCTCTCAAGAAATAACCAAGAAAAACACCTCGCAAACAAGGTGTCATTCTTCCAGCCTACCGACTCCACATTCACAATGGCATGCCCGGGCCTGCTTGTAGAGAATTATGTAATCGCAACACACGGATTTGTGGTGGTAGAAGACCATCTCCCGATGAGTGGGATGTATGCCACACACTGAATCATACTGACCTGGCGAGAGAGGCCTCTCAGCGTTGATCCCCAAACAAGTCCCGATGGGATCATTTACACTTCTGGTTTCGGGGAACGCCTGCGCGCGCGTCCCCGTAGGACAACTTAAAGTTCGATTTCGGGGTCATGGGGTCCATGAAGAATCTTCCGGAATCATGGATGAAAAGAACTTTGGAAAAATCAATCTGGCTCCAGTGAAATCCTGCCGAAGATGCTTGATTCAAACCTCCCAGTTTCATCCAGTTTCCTTTTCCATCACGGATGGGTGCTCTAAAGAATTGATGATTGCACCGGTGGCCGCTGACCAGTGGCCGGTGTCAGGCTGCCGGTGGCCGGTGGTGGCCGGTGGTGGCCGGCGGGTAGTGATCTGGTCACAAATACATCGACAAGTTCCAACTCAAACCAACAACCATAGTTTGTCAATCCACTGTCCTTGCCTTCCCTGGACTCTGGAGCCATGTCATGAGGAACCACTGGCAATCTGGTTTTCTCTTTTGCAACCTGGAACTATATACCTGTCCAATCTGCTTCTCTATAAAAGCCGTGAATGCCACTCATACAAACATGTGTCGGGACGGGCGCTTGCCGCCCTGTTGGCAGCGTGATTGGCTGAGAAACCTTGACTTGTGCAGGCACGGAAGGTGGAGATACGACGAGGCTGATCACCCCGGGCTCAGCAAGCTTCTTTTTTGCGCCAGAATGGTGCCGGCGCTTGGATACCTCCGGGCGGTGAGCCTGCAGCACTTCATGGCTTCATTGCGACACTGCCTTTGGTTTCCGGAGCTGCAAGACCAAGCGTTCGTCAGGCTCAACGCCTGCCCATACCAAACTCGGCAAGCGACCTACTCCTTTTCTCACAGATTTCTACTTCAGGGAATTCTATCTAGCATCTATAGAAGAATTCTGTCATCTCGCAGCTTTGGAGAGAAAACATACAGCCAGTAGCGCCAGCGGTAGTCACTAGCCAGGGTCAGGCAAATCCACCTCTTTTCGTAAGGTGCACAGCTGCTTGCCCCCATGAACGCGATAAGCGGCAAAGCCACACCAGCACGTTGCTTGCTAACAGGAGGAAGTGCGGGAACGCGACAAATGCCCCGCCTTGAGCACGGCTGGTTCAGCAATGATTTGGGCAACAACTGCTCCTCTCTGACCTGGTCTTGCCTGCTTCAAAGGTTGCCGGCACTGAGGACAAGCGATCCGCTGGGAAGTCGGCCTCATGTATTGAATCAGCCAGTCACACTTTGAGCTCTTCTGCACGCAAAGACACTGAATGAAGCCTATGCCGTGCAATATAGTAATATATCATATTGATGCTCGTGTTGGCATGCTGCATGCGCATCGGGGCATGGAATGCCGCTTGGTGCTCTCATGGCGGACACGGAAAGCCTAAAGAAAGGCCCATGTAAAGCATGTATCTGACGCATGTCCAATGACAGAGTAGGAATCTAGAAGGGCTTGCCCGGGCTCTTCCATGCATAGAATGGTGGCCGCTGGTGGTCGCTGGTGACCGATGGACGGTGGCCGGCAAGCAGTAGCCGGTGGACGGCGACATAGAATGACTATAGCGGGGGTGGGCGCGTCAAAAGAAATACCTTAAAAGCTGCAATTAGTTACAATTTATTAACTCATCCCTCCTTTCTTATTCGGCGCCACGTGTGGCCATGAATGTGCACTGCCTTAGATACCTCGATCATGGAATCAAGCCACCCCAAGACTAACCCATCCAAGGATGATCACCAGGTGATTCAATTCCTCTTTCCCCAACTTGGTCACAAAATGTTTTTCACTCTTGAACGAGTCTTGAGCATAGATGCTTCCGACCCAATTCCACACGCCAGCCACGATGCCACCCCACGGCCGTCCACCCGCTGCCAGGCCTGAGTGCACCATCTCGGAGCTATCTCCGTGTTCCTGAGCATGAGTCGCTCCATTATTTCAGAATATAGTCCAAGAAGATGTTTCAAATACCGTTTTTCTCCCGAGAAGGTCACAACCTTGAAGCCAGTGGCAATTTGCGACAAACATCTACAACAAGTTAGAATTCTTGTTGGGTACCATGCATGTATCTACGCTAGAAGCAGCTCAGTGTCCCTTCCGAACAACCCTAGAATCTGCAAAATCTGCAATGGGGGCCGTCTTCTCGAAAGCTCAAGCTTGTTGACTGACGGTAGCTTCTTGGGAGAGGACAAGGAATATTTGTCGGCAAATTGTGTGCACCTGACCTCTTTATAAAGGGCCAACCCGCTTACTTTTGATTTGCCTCAGGTGTCTGCTGGTGAAACAAGCATCTACACCGCCACGGTGGCTTTGCAGGCGTCTAACAGTGCACACCACAAATATTGAACTTCAAAGCTTGGCAAGCGACACCCAAAAAATCAACACCTCATGTACCACCTGAAGTCGTGCCCCACGGGCTGAAGTCGTGCTTCACCTTGCTGCCGAGAGGAGCCTCTGCACCAATTCAGGATGACTCTTTCGAGCGGCGAAGTACACCGCATTGGCAAATGTGTCACTAAAGATCACTAGTGAAACAAACCTGTACACATTGAGACGAACATAGAGTGAGCTGGGTAAAACGTTCCTCTGGAAACGAACAGCAAGGGAGCGGGCGCAATTCGAAGCCAAAAGCACTTAATTAAGCTATGCAGCAGCCTGGTTATTAAAAGAGCAGCGAAAAACACTTTGGCAAATGTCACCTTGTCTTGGTCGGCGCCAGCTTCCAAGACCAGCCGGACCAACTCGGGGTTCCTGCTGCGAGCAGCCAAATGCAAGGCCGTAGCCCCGTGGTGGGTGACCTTGTCTTTGTCAGCACCAGAGTTCAGCAGGAGGTGTACCACGTCCAAGTGGCCATTCTCAACAGCCAAATGCAATGCTGTTTCCCCATGTATTGTAACCATGTCTTTATCAACACTGTTTTGGAGCAAAACCTGCACAACTTGCAAGTGGTCCTTGGACGCAGCCAAGTGTAATGCTGTTTTACCAGTCGTGGTAGTGGCTGCATTTTTGTCAGCCCCAGAATTAAGCAACAGTTCCACCACCTTTAAGTGTCCTTTGCCAGCGGCAACATGCAGTACATTTGCGCCATCTGCTGAAACCTGGTTGGTTTGGGCGCCAGCCTCAAGCAATAGCTGCACTACTTCTAAGTGCCCCTTCTCAGCTGCCAGGTGCATGGCTGTCTCATCGCAACATGTTACTTTGTCTGTGTTAGCCCCGGCCTTCAACAAGAGCTGCAGAACCTCTGAGTGACCATTCTCAGCTGCTTCATGCAAAGGCGTAGAGCTGAAGAGGTCTTCCTGACTTGATGACTTGGCAGCAACACTGAAAAACTTAGCCAAAAAGTCCTTAGACTGGTTTCCGCTGGTTTCTATGTGTATATATATATATGTATATATAAAACAAACGTGATCCACTGGGAGTGTACACGATCTGCCCTTCTACCTCAAGCTAAGTTACCTCGCAAGAAGCCGGGTGAAACATGTCGCCCCTACCTGCCAAAGTTTCAAAGGAAGTCCAAAGAACTAACAAAATGTGTCTCCTTCTTTTCGGTCAGCTGCGATGTCCATCTCCGCATCAGCTTCAAGCAACATTTTGAGGCAATCGGAATGGCCAGCCGTCACAGCGATCTGCAAAGCCGTCTGACCGTCTTGATCAGTGGCTTCCGGATTGAGTGGCTGCTGCAGCAGAGCTTCCAGTTCGTTCAAGTTATTCTCCATGCAGGCCGAAACCAGCTTCTTGGTTTGCCAATCTTCTGGCGGGCAAAGGGTCAGAATCACCAGCTGTATGGTTGAAGCAGACTTGGCATCCTCAGGGTTGGTGTATCAACATCAAACCACCACATGGGTCGTGAACACAGCTGGGTCCTTCACCAATGCGATTAGTGCACTTACAGTACTTAAAAATATCAAAAAATCTAAAGAGAGTAGTCAAAGTAGTCTGCGGGGGAGTTCAATTTTGACCCATCGACGACACTGATGTATCTGATGAACTCTGCTTGATGTGCTTTTGACCATTCCTCATGGCACGCTTTTTCCTGCAGAAAGTGTAGCTCCATCACCTCCTCGTCATGCAAGATGTGATCCTCACGAAGCCACCTCTGCCGGAATCGCGAGACTCCAATCCTCACTTCAGGCAAGGAATTGAAAGATCGCAGCATCAGCGACAATGGACTACTGGACTTTTCAAACAATACGATTGCCGTCAAGTTGGTAGTGTCCTTCACTTTCCAGCCTGAAGGATTTTGATGGTAGAAAGAGTTTTTTCCGGCTCCGGTCCTAGTGTTAGAGGGAGATTGAGGTCGTTGTGGGCGAATCCCTCTGCTCAATCAAGGATCTGCTGGGCCAACTGCCTCTTGAGGCATTTCACGGATCGTCCTTCCACCTCCTCTGCGTCCCAGCTGTGCAGCGTCTTTCCAGACACCGAGCACACGTGAAGCATCGGGGGGCTTTCAGAGACTTGGAATGAGACAGTAGGATTTGATCGGTCCTCCTTTTTTCAGCGCAGCCCGCAATGGGAAACTAGCAATGGATTGGGGGTTCGTTGAGTGTTTTCAAGGCGCTCAGCTGTGCGGATACCATGAATCAGTTTCTGGCCATGCGAGCAAATGGCTCGTGAACATCGATTGGACAAACGGAGGACGGAGGCCCTTATGCTTTGGGGAAGTATACACTTGCACTTCAAGCTATGAGCACGAACATAGCCATTGTAGAGTCAAGTCTGTACTCTGTACTAAACAAAGGTCCATAACTAGCAGACAGCATCATGCTCGTACCCAGACGTTTGCTCGAGTTTGTCTTTGAAGAATGTGGCAGCGAACCTGGCTCCCCTCTGTGAGCCGGTGTCCCGGTGTCGGCGCTCGTTGGCGTCGCTCGTCCAACTTCAGTTCTTCAGTTCTTCACATGTTGTCGCAACTGGTTGTCGGACATGACATGATCCCCAAGTCGCAGGAATTCGCAGCTTGACTGGCTTAGCTAGTTCGGTCTCTCCAAGTTCGGTCTCCCTGCCCAGTCAAGCCAGTCGATCTGCGAACCGCCAAACGTTGGGAATTCCTCCGCATGAGCCGAATCAGGCCACATGATCAGAGGTAGTTCACATCTGTTTCCCCGTTCACCGAGCTTTGCTGAATGTGCAACTTCTGATCTGAGTCCCTGGTTGGTCTTGCCAAGGATGGGGTCATGACCAAGTCTATTCCTGGTGGTCCTCAGACTCTGTAAACTCTTGATTCTGCCTCAGATCGGAAACAAGTCTTGATACGAACAGAATATCCTTTTTTGCTGCCCTATCATCCATCCCTCACAAATCCCCTCACGCCTTCAACAACAGAGTTCAGTTTGGGAGGCTTGAATGCTCAAAAATGGTACCCAACACCACCCAACTTCCCGGAATCACTTCGTCATCTGCGGAACGGGGCCTCTGTTGGCTTCCATCTGGACCAAACAGGGAAAAAAATAATCGAAGGACAAACCACCCTTCAAGTTGGGGCCATCTCCCCAAGATCTCTCCATGCCAAGTGGCCACGGCCGTGTGCACGTTCCCTCCCACCGCCTTCACCAGCAAGAGGGCTCGCAAGCTATCCTCCACCTCCAGTGTTGAAGATCGACAGCGGCCGCCGGACGAACCGTCCGCTTTGTCTTGATGAAATAGAGACAGGATGAAACAGGTGCACATGTGCTCTTCCCGGCCAGCTTCTGTGTTTTGTGGAAAGCAAAAGATCCCATTGGAGAGTGGCTGGGTCTCAGATTCTCCAATCCGTCGTCATGAGGCTAGCCAAAACAATCATAGGCTTCGTGCGTGCGTCAGGTGATCCTTCACAAAATATGTATTTATGGGTCAAGCAGGTGCGAAAGTAAGTAGAAGCCTATTTGCTATGTATGAGCGTCTGCCAGAAAGTCCTGCCAGCGAAGAGGACGTGATTCAACAAGTTTATCGCTTTGAGGGGAGCCTATCGCTTTTTCTCAGCCCCGAACCACACCTTTCACATAGCTGAACACACATATATTATATAGATCGAGAGAGAGAGGGAAAAATGCCCAAAAAGATCCAAAAAGTGCAGCGACATGGTTCTCGATTATCACGTTTAAGGGATCACTTTTTCAGGCTCTTGTCAAATTCCTGAGATTCAAAATCACTCTATATATATATACACACTAAAGTGGTCATCGCAGGCTTTAATGTTGTGGTGCAAGATGGTGCAAGAATGCAAGAATGGAAGGGAATGGAATCCGGCCCTTAAGTTGAAGTTCTGCTCTGTCACATGGCTGTTGTGCTGTGGCTGAAACTGGTGTGTTGTTTATCATCCAGGTTCATACATAAGGACAAGCTCACAAACCCAGCTTCGCAAGCACCAACATGTTGGCTTCAAGTTGGTCGACAACCTCGACCTACTTGTCGGTTCTTCCGTGCAAAGGTCGCGTGATGAAGAAGGGCAGGGAGATATCCAAAGACGCCCTGGTCTTCCAGGAAAATAAGCTAAACCATGTTTAAAACATACATACTATATAAAGCCATCTAAAACCCATGGGTTGGAGGGTCTCCCCCTAGTCTAGTAGTTTACACCTTTTCGCCGATTCCTCATCTGATTGAACATGGCTCGCTCAGACGTCTGCCGTCCTGTCTCCCACTCGTCGCGCCTTGCTGTTCTCATGCGCTCGCCCGGCGGCTTCTGGAAGGTGCAAGCCCAAACCGAAGGTCGTTCTCACATGGCCTCCGAGTGGAGGAATCCTCCTGTTGTTTTCGGGTCTGACTCCTCTCAGAAAAGGGTCGAATGAGCATGGATTGAGCATGGCCCAACGCGACACAAAGAAATCATGTTTTGGGCTAAGGACCGGCGAAGGACCAAAACAAACACCCAAATCTTTCCCAACCAAGGCGACTCAAGTCACCGTGGACACGAAGGCGCTCAGGCCTGCTTCCTCCTTGAAGTCGAAATCGCTGCTGGCGATCTGCTTCGCCTCCTGATCCGAGTCCCGCAAACACTCCCAACAAAGAATTCGATACAATTATATAAGGGTTCTGCTCAGATCATCTGACAATCTTAGAAACTCAGGTGGGGTCACGTCCACGATCTGGGCTTGCCCCAACATGGTTGGCGCCTACCTGTTTAGGTACGGTTTTGCCGGGGGTGGCACCAGTGGCACCAGCGCAGATTGACTCCAGTTAGCTTCCTTCGCTACCCAAAAGACTCGACCTGTGTATGTTTCCGAACGTGCAAGCCTCAAGCCAAACAAAGCATCGTGTCACTCAAAAGTCTGAGGAAACTGCTCACGGCGCACACAACAAGAAGTTCATAATCTACCAGTTTCGTACAAGAGACAGCAAATATCCAAAACTGATTGGCAAAAGGGTGGCCGGCCACATTATCAAATTGCCCACATGCTGCAGGTTTCCCCTTTAGATTGACCTATGTAACATTGTTCAGGAACACCCGTTCCTTTCTACAGGCTTCCATCCATATTCAGAGCATGTGGGCCAGTGGAATAGGGAGGTGATTGAGAAGCATTAACAAGTCACAAGGGAAGTGCAGCCTTCAGGGTCTCAATCAAAATCGGAAACCTTCAAAAACTTACTAGTAGCAAAAAAACACGCACGACGCATGTCATCCAAAAAAGGACGCTACAGCAGTTCAAAAAGTGTTACAAACCCTGGGTTGGTTCGGGCTATCATGTGCGGGGGTCCAGTAGAAGCCACATCCACAACAGAATTCAGCCCCTAAATCAACAGGATTCTCTTCATGCAGTGGCTAAAGGCGCTACCCTTCCACTCAAGTGCACATCGAGTGCATCGGCACTGCCAAAGTGTTCAGGACAATTGTATATATATATACACATGTATCTTCAATGTATACATGTTTCAAAATATTCGGGGACCAATTTCTGACCCCACTCTTGCAGGTGCATGCTACCTTGCACCTTTCTGAAGACTCGAGCACTCCAAAAGTGTCTGTTCCTTGTCATCTGTCATCACTGTCATCTGTGAACCAAATCAGTTTGCTGTTTCGCATGGCTTTTCGCATGCATGTGCTCAATTCAAACCAAAAAAGAAGCTCAAACAAACGCAGCGCCGGGAAATCGATTCCCCAAAAAGTTTGGTGTCCGTCGGGGAGGTGCCGTGGAAGAGATACCTCGGTGACCGAAAAAGACCGCGCCGAAAAAGACTGCGGATCTGAAGGATAGGATGGGTGCGTTCCCTGGGAGTTTTCCAGATGACCGCGGTAAATAGAACCCACCAGCCGAGGTAGTGGCAGGAACTTCATGAGGTACTTGGAAAGTAATTCATTACCATGGCATGTTGCCCCACCGACCCCCGACCTACCTAAGCCAAGGTGGATCAGAACGGCTCAGACCGCCTTCGCGGCTCCTCTTCGGTCACCCCAGGCCCTTCAGATCCCATGGGTCCGCCCCCAAGGACTGGTGGGACCAGCATAGAGGTTAGCTGGAAGGCTAGCAGCTCAAGCGCTGTCCAGACAGCTGCCCAGAGTGCTCGGAAACGAAACCCATAAAAAAGACCTGCCAACCATCCCATCACAACCAGTCAGCCGACCACACCCATCACTGCCGAAGCACATCTCATTGATTTCCTTTCGCAGCTCGGCAGGCCCCAGGTCGTCAGTGAGCACCACATGCCGGGCGATGCTGCTGCCAAAGTTCCGGTGGAGGTCCGCGGCAAAGTGGTCGTAGCGGTGCTGCATCTGTGCATTCCTGAAACGGGCGGCCAACTCCACCCAACAAGAGGAGTTGATTGAGATTTGACAGTTATAGTTATAGTACAAACAGCCTGATCTTGGCCACAAACAACTCAACACTCCAGTGCCCCCTTGCTGAAACCTAGGTTTGAACCACTCGGTAACATCCACTTGCTGCCTGGCGGGATGGATATTTGATGAGGGATGGGTTGGCGAAGGGCTACGGTGCACAAGCATAATTTTACACTCAGACTCAAAGAGATAATATATATACAATATATGATATATACTATAAAGTATATAAATATAATGTATCTAATAAGTATATATATAATATAGTATATATTTACATTTCTATCCAAGCTCAAGGTACGCTGCTACGGCACCTTTCCTTTTTCATCGACTCGCCAAG